TAAAAGTTCAAGACCCAAAAAGGATAAAACGGTTATTTACCAAGGTCATCCGTTAATTAATATGAAATCCTAGGGGAATAAGGTCCTTTCACAACATCACAGTGGTTCTAGAGCCCATAAAGGCAAAATGGTTATTTGACATAGTCGATTAATACCTTAGAACCCAAGAAGGGTAAAATGGTCATTTACCGTGGTCATTTAAGGATTTTAAAATCCAAAAGGGCAATATAGTCATTTATTACTTATAATTACAGCCTCTAGACACTTCAGGGGTAAAATTGTCATTTTTATGTCCATTCTATGCTTTAGTTGAAATCTGGGTAATTGTGTAAATATACCAAAGTTTGAGGTCAATATGCAAATACTGGTCCATCTAACTGACTAGATGACCCAATCTATCCGGTTAGATGACCATTCCAGAAGATGTGCAAACCCACAAGCCCATCTAACCGACTAGATGAAGGATCTGATCAGTTAGATGGCCATCTAACCGACTAGATGGCCCATGTAGTCGATTAGATAGTGAACCAATGAACAAGAATCCCACGAAAATGGCATCTAACCGGTTAGATCGTGACATCTAACAGACTAGATGAGGACTAGATCTGATCTAACCGACTAGATGACCCTATCTAACCAGTTAGATGAGATTGAAACTTAATGTGATTGATTCGATCACTTCCTAATCCGCCTATATGCATCCCGAACTCATACAATATGAAAATGTAAGTTCATAAACTTCAAAACATTTAAAATTAACATATATACATCCATTTGACAATCATTTGGTACATCTTTGGTAATCAAATTATACAAATCGTCTTTACACAATTTCAAATAATTTAAGTACAGAGATGAGGCCTCCAAGGCCGTAAATACAACATTACAATACAACGAAAATCATAGCATTGTCTATGGTTGTGTATGCAAGTCTTACGCCAAATCTTCTCCGTCTTTCCTGAAAATGTTAAGATAAAAGGTAAGCTCAACAGCTCAGTAAGAAATGCATAAAACACCGGCTTTGGACTCCCTTGAGTCAACAACCAAGAACGGGAAGAAGAAGTCAAGATCATTCTCGGGGAATTAGTAAAATCACAATCGACGCCATTCATTTTAAAAGATTATCATCACATAATCAATCATTAACATGAATGCTAATATGCCATGAAATGCAATGCCTTCCCGACCATAGTCCCGACCCAACACAACACACACCAAAAACTGCTAACCGACTTTACCAAGGTAAGATTGATAACTATCCCTAGTTCCAAATTCGGCAACCATTTGAGGTCTAGTATTAACTTTACACGTCCAAAACCGACATGCACTCCCTCTAGGTCGAATTAGCCTCGGACTCGCGAAATCTGGTTTCTTTCACAAACCCATTTCTCATAACCCCTCCCAAACACATCATTTAAAATCATTTCGACCTCATTTTCCCAACCATGCCCATGCCATGAATGAAGTCATGCATTGTTCATGTAGCCAACGTGAAATATACTTTCTATACCTAATTACGCATGTTTCACAATCATAATAAACCAAAAAATATATATATATATCCCCAAGATGGTAACCTACAATTATAGCATGCTTTTCAACAATTTTTGCACTTCAAGTATACATCCAACAATACATTTTAACATAACATTTTCATAAAAAAAAAACATACACATCATTTCTAAGTCTATCAATTATCATTTTGGAGCAAAAATTGCATGAATCAAGTGGAAAAACTCAAATAGAGGCAAAACATAATGAGTTACATATCATTACCTCAAAATGCACCTAAAAAGCATCCCGGCCATAAAATCGACGACGGTCAACTTTGGTCAACTCCGGTCAACGTTGTCCAAATGCGAAACTGTTCAATGAGGTTGTAGCTAATGCCGAGGAGCTCACACTGTCCCAAAGAAATGACTCCAAAATTCGATTCGAAATAGATCAAAACCTCCCTTGAAGTTCTAAATTTAAAACTTTTAAAAATTCCAAAAAATATTTAATGCTTAACTATAAATTGAACCCTTGGACTATGTGGTAGATAGTGATGAGGGGAGCATTTTTCGTCAAGGAACCGAACCCGGAAAGCAAACCCGATCGGCCAGAAAATGGAAGAAAAGTTTAGAAGGTTAAAAAGTAAAGAAAAAGGAAAATAAAACCGGAGAGAGAGAGAGAGAGAAAGAGCAGCGCCGTGAGGGAGAAGAAGAAAGAAAGAAAAAAAGAGGCTTAATCTGAAACACTTAAAACAGTTTGTTCGAGCCCCAGACATTCGTAAACGACTCAACGCAGTGCAAGACAGATAAAACTCAAGTAAACGAAGAACACAGTGACATCAAAAAAAATTAGAACACGGAAATCCGCCGTGATCCCACACAACCCCTGGAACACCATGGTATACATCCTTGTGCACAAATAAAATAAAAAGAAAAATGTCCAAAAAATCGAAAAAATGAGGGACGTCATGATCTACCCACCTTAAAAGGATTTTATCCCCGAAATCTATCATCCTTAAAAGAAGAGGCTCCAACCAACATTCACGGGAAAAAACTCGTAAAACTCATAAGGATATTCGTTCATTACCCCTTACTACCCTTCACATTGAAGGTCAAAGACAGCTCCGCACCACTTACATTGGCAACCCAAGGCTCACCACCCTATATAGGTACTTATCACACAACATTCTACCATCTATATCACTGGGTTATATACTTGGCCTACAACCGACACTGGTTACCTCCACATAATCACACACAGCTTTAAAACTCATAAGAAAGACGGTCTTTAGACCACCGAACACGACGACATCAAATCCTCAACTCATTCTTTAAAGGATACCCGAAACTCATGACTAAAGATCCCGACTATCACACAACGAATCCTAAACCCAAGTCTACATATCCCAGACCGACCACACATTCGATACCGAACACGTAGCTACTCCATCACATAACCGTACAAACGATTAACAGTTACTCCACTCAGTAATCATCACACTTAGCGCCTCCCAAGATGGCTAAACGGTAAATCTCCCAACGACTACATAAACATAAGTCATTCAATCACAAATAGTACTATCAAATACTGAGGACACAATTCCCCATAACACGATCCTCAATAATCAAATGGTGCACCATAAACCTTTATCGGACACTTGGTCCTACCCAACACACCTCGTTACCCGAGACAAACTACTCGAATCCATACTGTCACACCGACATAACGCACAATATCATGCTCTCGTTGTCCCTGACAAATCGAAACAATCATTGACCTTTGACCCGACATCATGATAAAAGGGGACTGATTCAGGAGAAATAATTGGCCAGACCATTCTCTTTATCGATCCGATCTCAACACAGACGTCGCTCATGTCCTCAGGTCCAAACCTCAAACACAATCTCACACAGTCCACAAGACAACCATGAGATCCACTCACTATCAATTTATCGCTCTACGTAACGTTAACAACTATACAGTCATATACTTACTCTAAAAATCCCAATCATGCCTTAATCATAAAGGGTGCAACCCAATACCAAATACTACAATCATCGACCAAGTGTAAAAGCCTCTTGGTCCGTTTCTAACAACTCGTACTAAAGAAAAACTCCACGACATCATTCGATCAATCACTTACCTCATTAAAATACCTCATAAGACTATTTCTTTCCTGTAATGTCAAAACCATAGTAAATCGTTTCCATTATTCCTCTAAGGAATCCCACATTCACTACTCTAACTACATAGTGCTCAAACAACACCAATACCTGTCCACATGACACTACTCGACATTACTCAATCTAACAACATGAAAACATTCGAGTACATTACTCACATCACATCACCTACTCCTCCTGGAACATACAGCTCACGACATATCCCTTAGCCATCATTGCTAGTACCAGACACTGGGAATAGACAATCCCTAATCAACAACTCATGTCTCACACCTCACCGGTCAAGACCACTCTCAGAACAAGCATTAATAACACCGAAGACTTCACCTCCCTTCTATGTTCAATTCCAATCATAGTGCTTGAGTATTATATCTTTAATATAAAATATATTGTGTAATTTTTTTTTAGAGTGGTGGTATGGGTACTGCATTTTGTTATGAAACTAAGTTGCTTTGTATGTAGATTCTATTATTACATGGTCTTAAACTCTCAAAATGTCAGATTTAAAGGTCCATGATGTTTACATCAGGAAGAAAATGGCATTAAAGAGATGTATTATTGTTACTTGGACCTGGCCCCAAAGAGACACTATGTGTGAAACAAACCTTCCTTGAGAGTCATGCAGGACTAAATGATGTTCATGGAGGACTACCTAATTAGCCTTTGTCATAGTTGAATTGATTTATCACAGACGTATTGAACATCATCACCTAATTATTTTTCTCATTGCTACCGTCGTCCTAACACTATCGAATATTTGCTCTCTATTTCCAAGAGAGTACAGAACCTCGTGCACTAAATCAATCAATTATTGATTCAAAGAGATTGAATGTAAGATTGAGCGAGTGGAAAGGGATCACAGCGGAGTGGTTCCTACCATCCTTCTATCCCGCATTTGAATTCGGAAAATGAGAAGACAATATACTGGCGATTATGCTAAATCTCAAGGCAAAAGAGAAGACCATGACTCGAATTGTACAAGATGTGCTTGTCAAACTCTGGCTCCAATCTGGTACTCTTTCTTAAATGCCAAACAGGTAGAATGTAGACACCTTGAATGCACCGCCAGTTGAGAAGCGGGCGGGTCTTTTACGATTCATCTGGCAGTCCAATCTGTCTACGGGCTGATCTTTTAGGATCCACCTGGTGGTCCAATCTCCATCTTAATGGAGTATAGGATAGGACCCTCTCAAACGCTGGAAAGGACATATTTCTCTGTGGTTATCCAAAATCATATTTAGTTAAGCAATAACTACTGTAAGAGACAGTTGTTGATTATAGGGAATTAACAATCCAAGTATTCATAAATAGATGATAAATTGATGGATGGAAAGGCAAATTCAAATTAATTTGATCAAATAAGGCTAATAGAGCATATCTGACCATTTTTTAACGAGTATATGAACAAGACAGAATGTGAGATTAGAAGCCAATGCCGATAGCACCAACCCAACAGAGTAAAATAAATGATACAGAGAGTATCAAGGCAACAGTCTTTTTTCTTAATTACTGGGGCTTAAAACAATACAGTTTTTCACCTTTCTGGTTTTCTTTGTTTTGTGTTATTTTTTGTTTTTGGTAAAATGAATAAACTGAAGAAATCAATACATTTGGAACTTTGCCTTCGTTTTCTCGAACACCTGTTCAGCAATGATTGCCCCATTCCCATCTGCTCTTTTAATTTCCAAAGTTGCTTTTTGATAGAAGCCAGTACCTCTTAATGCATCTGCGATGAAATCATCGAATCCAATCGCTATGGCTGCCTCAGCCTTTGCTCCATAAACCAACCTCTGTTCAACATGAACAATAATGCAACAAAATTTAAGTCTGACCTCTGGAACATGTTCAATCATAAACTGCCAGGATTAAGAATGAAAAAAGACAGAGTAGCTCAACCTTAATCCGAGAAAGGTGGATGGCACCGAAGCACATGGGGCAAGGCTCACAAGAGGCATATATTTCACAGTCTGAAAGCTCAATCTGATTCAGCTTTTTACTCGCCTGTCAAAATATAAATCATGGCAGAGTAAGAATCCTACATCTTCAACAAGCACAAATGCGCTAGACTGTAACATTATATTAATGGATAGGAATCCTCTTCAATATTTTCTTTCCAAGCATCTCCAAGTCCACATCTAACGGTCAAATAATCACCAAGTCATCGGTTTTGTTGGGAATAAGTTGTACATGAAACCAAGTAGTTAAACAAGTGATGACACGATACGTTTCTGACTGTTGGATGTAGGTTTGTAGATGGTTGGAGAGGATCCGTTTCCTTAACACTAATACCTACATGATCTGTGTATCCAGACATCATTGTCCCCAATGACAAAGCAATAGTTCTCAAATTCCTATGTCCAACCATTGGCAAAATAACAGCCAAGGTAGGGGGCACGAGTACTTTCAGCCTGCAGATTGGAATATTTGAGAGTGAATTATCCACTGTGAGCCTGCAGATTAGAATTTCAAAGAAGTAGTTCGATGTGCTCCACACATATGAACTTTTTTTACACAACACCACCAATAAGAGCAACAACAAAAACAACAAATCAAGAAGTGGTGATAACCTCTCTTTTAATCATACATGTTGAATGTTAAACAAAATGTACTGTTTTCAACTAACAAGCATATATAAACTAATCAGATTGATAAACATATACTACATATTCTTTGTTATCTGATAATTATACCCAAAAAAATGCATATTTTCTTTCTGTAATTTGAGTTTACAATATAGCTAAACAGGGAAAAGGATCAATACAAGGTATTATATCACCTATCCAACAAGACAAAAATTGTATAAAAACACATAAGCAGCAAGTGTACAAATTTAGCATTCACCAGATACTGTTCATGTATGTCTCGTTTACTAACAAAGGACTAAGTCAACTAACTGTAATCAATGAACACTAATTTTGTTAACTTACTTCCTCAGTATTTTGATTATAATCACTTGATTTAGTCCTATTTTGGCAAATGAGACGTACGGGGGCAGAAAATTCATTAGAATTGGTCATTTTACAATATTAAATCAGGTTATCTTGAAAATTGGAATATGAGAAAACCTTTACTTCCAACAATGTTAGGTGTCTATGCCTAGTAAAAATCCATGGACATTTGGCACCAAAAGCTTTACTCTATAAAAGATAAACATTTCAGAGCTATATGAGAGGACACATATTTTGTCTGACCTCTCTAATTGCTGTCACCTCTGCATGGGCAGTTGGATCTGTGTTCTTCAAAACCATGTTGTGACAACTCACAATTACTTCATCGTTACGGACAACCACAGCACCGAAAGGACCTCCATGTCCACATTCAACCCCATTATATGCTTCTTCAACCGCTTTTGTTAAGAATTTGTGGTCTCTATCCTGTACAACTGGTCAAGCAACCACAAACCCAAAATAATAAATAATGATAACCAAAACGACAGCCTCACACTAGCTCCAGTAGCCATAACCAAATCACCAAGGAAAATTTAAGATAACTGTCCAGTTCGCCATTCAATAAATAACCACCAGCTTATCAGTATGATTTATGCATGTGTAAAACATAATTTTATTGCTCCAATTTATAATGTCTGAAGATATCATTCTTGCAGACAAAAGATAAAACTTAACATACTGACATCTGAAAGGCTAATTCACACAAACCCTTTACCTTCTTGATGCCCGGCAAATGCAGAAGCCACAGAAATAGTTCCATCCTTGGTCTCCACCACTGGTAATATTACAGGCAGAGGACAAGAAATAAGTCATTTAGCAAATGTTTCCAAAAATTCAACATAGTATGGTGATGAGGCATTTGAGATTCCAAGAAAACTTAATCAGTCCATTTTGTTCTACAAAGAATCGAAATAAGACTGTTAATGTTTTTTTCATAGCATTTAACCAATCCATCTGAAATTTTCCTAAACAATTGACAAAATTGGAATACTGACATTTTGCATTTCTTAATGACCTATGTTTTATATCGACTTAGTAAGCCTATTTGTGTGCCAAATGCTATATAAAATGTCAGGCTTGATTCAATTCTTGAGCGGATAGCCTATAATATTTGAAAATATAATTCAATGAATGAAAAGTACCAATACAAAAAAAGGGCCCACTAAGAAAGAAAAAAGAAAAAGAAAAGGAAGGAACAGGAAAGCGACAAATAAATAAATAAAATGATTGGACTAAATTATGAAGTAAGATCTGAGATGTTAACAATTCAAGTTTCCAACAAAAAGAAAAAATAAAGTTTGGCCTACCAGACCACTGGAAGAAAAGGTAGCAAGATGAACTAAGATGAGATGAAAACAGAAAAGCGGCAAAAGAAAAAGCTCTGTTTGTATGCCAAAAGGAGACATGGGCATAAATGAAAAACATAATCATTTAAAGGTGGTGATTGGAATGTCAGTTGTACAAATTAAAGTTTTTTTCCCTTTCTGTTCGCATGAGTTTAAACAAAGAATATGTGATTTTGCAAACTTATTAAAAAAGCAGCAGATATGCAAAATCCAAACTGGTAATCACAAGAAACTTTATGATAGAAACAACTGTGTTGAGAATCAAGACAAAACACCAAACTAGAGGAAGTGAATTGTAAGCAACAAAGGGTGCCAAAAAAAAAAAAAAATCTGTAAACAACAAAGAAACGAAATAACACGATAAGAGAGTTTGAATCTAAAGATCCATATTTCTATGTTAAACTGGTAGTCAAACAAATAAATGGTGCACTTTTGTGTACAAATTACCTTGAAAAAAAACAAAGGAGGAAATGATAAAAAACAGTAAAGGAAGTAAGAATAAAGACATAAGCAGGTGTATTTAGCTACTTAAGCAAATTCCATGATAGCAAATTTAAGAAGGTTTTGTTTGACTCAAGTTTTTTAATGGTGATTTGGTGAAGGAGGGCATTGACCATCAGACTCGTGTACAACCATGAATGTGTTGTGTGTACCTGATTAGTGAAATGTCAGAAAACCATATTAAATTGTGAAAAAAGAGTGTTTTTGGTTAAAACAGAACCCATGTTTCTTCATTGTAATGACTATTAAGGATTTTGATCTTAAAGAGATAATTGGTATGCAAACATGATGGCAGCCATTTTGTGCAAAAAAAATGCCGAAGGTAAGGCTAGTCCCCATTTAAGCCCTCTCTAGACGGACCAACACTAGGCACCTTTAAAGATGAGAATAATTCAAACTGTCTTTTTGCATCTTAACTACTGAAGCAAGTGTTCTCAGTTGTAAAGTTTTTGGATTCAAAAAAGTCACATTCTATATAAAACTGGTCCATAATATTTTGCTCAGAAAAAAATGGAGAAAATTTTAAAATTCTGACAATGCCACAGCCACATACTAGGACAATAAATCAACAAACAGAAAAGGGGACATTTTGGACGAGGAAAAAGGACAGCAATGCCAAGAAAACGCACAAACAGACATACATGGATCTAACTGGGGCGGAGCGGGGGCGCCCGCCCCCACTAAAAAAGGTTTCGTTTATATTACATACCTATAGTTTACTTAAAATAAAAATAAAATGTCCTCACTAAATTTTGATAAAACTCCACTATATGTATCTCTTCCACTGGATTTTTGGGCCCTAATCAACTTTTTCTGACTCTCCATTGTTTTCTTGCCCTCTGTCAACCCATCCATCCCCTCTCTCTCAAAAACTCAAACTCGTGAAGATGAATCAATTCTACCAAGAACTCTAGTTTTCGCTATCTTCCTCTTCCACTTTTGTTCCTCAGGTATCTATATTTCTGTGTGTATACATGATAGATGATATAATAACAAAATCAATTTCTTTACTTATTATGGTTCAATTTTGCAATCAAGTTACATTTAAAACCCAATTATTTGTCTTATTTTTTTGTTATTCGGAAGAATTTAGATCAATTGAAATTTTTTATTTTTTTTTTCTTTTAGATCTTATTGCTGTTCAAGAAACACCCCCACATATAATTTTCTGGCTCCGTCAGAGAAAAGTGCAAACAGATTCACATTTCTCTCTCTCCTCTCTCTCCTTCTCTTTCTTTCTCCCCCTCTCTCTCTAGTTCAAACAACCCAATTGAGATATTTACATGCCATCAAATCCAACAATTTACATATACATATCTATGACAAAAGGGTATAAAAAAAATACCCTCTACAGAAACAAAAAACAATAACAATAAAAGGGAAAAGCGCAAATAATTAGAACCCTACTTCCTATGGACTTTAAATAATAATAATAATAATAAAAGGTCAAACAAACTTATCAAAAGAAAATAAAAAAGACAAAAAGAAAAAAGAAAAAAAGAAAAAAGGTTGGGTAAAACAAGATCATCCGATTCATTGACAAAATGTTAAGATCAAATCCGAAAATGTTAAAAGAAACTAAAAAGAGGAGAGAAAGGGACATTACCATTAGCTTCCTCCATAAGTCTGATGTGATCCCAAATCAAATCAAATGAAAGCAGATGCAATGACAGGCACAACGAAAACTATTCTGATTGTTGATAGATGGGTAGATGATTATGTGTGTGTGGTGGTGGTGGTGGTGGTGGTGGCAGGGTGAGACCGTGAGAGAGCTCCACCTAAAGAGTAGAAAATGTTAGAGAGAGCGAAATACAAAAAGCAATTTACTTCCCACTTTTCAGTTTTGAGGTCTCTCTCAGCCTCGGCCGACTCCTAACAGTCGTGAGATTCTTGACCCCACACACGCACAAACACGTGAAAAATGGCTCAGTACCTTTTCTTTTTCTTTTCCCTCTCACTTCTCGGAAAATACAGTGAAAAGTGCAACAATTTCATCATACGAAATTAAAAATAATAATAATAATTAATTCCCTTTACCACCATTTACAATCAAAATGAAAAAAAAGAAAAAAGAAAAAAAAAAGAGGAGGAGTAAAGTACAACATAATGTATATGTATATATACCCATTAATTGCATATATAACATATAATTACTATCTGGTTTGTGAAAATTTTAGGCAAAATGTGATCAATAATTAATATTTAAATTTTAAAATACTATTTAGCCTACACAAATGAGGTAAAGCAAAAAAACACCCCCTTAAAAAGTCCGATTGATATGCGTTATGAAATTATTTTTTTTATAATGATATTCAAATTTGGGTTGTATCATGTTTGGAAATTGGGACCGTTAATATTAGTTTGGAATATTTATAATATATCAAATTTTTTTAGCCCAAATCCATATCACCAAATTAATGATATTGTGCGTTTTGGTATTATAGGTAAGGAATAAAACAATTTTTTGAATTTCTCAAAACATTCAATTTCTACCCAAAACAATGCAACATAAAAATACGTGTTTTATTTCTATTTTTATTCTTTTAAAGAGTTTTGGACATGAATTGCATTGTTAGTATTTTTTATATATTTATTTTACTTTTTTTTATCCATCTTATTCTTTGTTACACCTCTTTTTTCACTTGTAATATTGCACCATTGTATGCTTTTGTTTAATAGTTTTGTATCCGTTACCCTTGAATTGTTTTATATTGATTTGAAAAAAAAAAAAAAAAAAAAAAAAACCTATATTTATTACACTAAAATAGAGATAACAACGGGTGGGTTTAGAATGAGTTTCATAAACTCTGCCTGCCCTATATGTAAGAGCAAATGGATATTTATCACTCGTGTTACATAAGACATGAGGGAATTTGGATTAATTTACTTTTCTGTTAATGACAGAGAAATAACACCCTTTATTTGCCAAAAAAAAAAATTACCAATTGAAAAAGAGACTCGTAATTATGACGCCTCGTGATTCATGTGGCACAAATCATAAATTCATAATTAATTCCCACACAGCACACATTTGAAGAATAAATACGTTATCTTGCCAACTTGAATACGAATTTAATTTATAATAATTTGGTTTATTTCTATTAGAAGTATATTTTATCGGGATACGATATTTTCATGACAATTTTAATATTAACTTTACAAAATTATTACTTTTTGAATGACACAATTGTTTTTTTTTTTTTTTTTATCTTCTCTCCTTTATCTCTAATCTATTTTAATATATATATTTTTTTACAGGATCAAAAAAATAAAAATTTTGTTGAATAACTTGTCTCGCAACTAAAAAATGAAAAAGTAAATATTACAAAAAATTGCTAAAAAAAAAAGTTACTATTGAATAAATTATATCTTTTGATTGTCAAAAATAAAATTATTAATATAAAATAAATTATCTTTTTGGAGAAGTCTTCTTCCTAAAGGAAACCAAAAAAAAAAAAGAAAAAGATATAGCACAGGGAAAAAAAAAATAGTAAAGAGACTTAGAGAGTATAGAAGATTAAAAAAAAAGTTAAAATTGTATAAAAGGTTGAATATGCATTAATGAATTTAAGAATTTTTTGTCATTTCTTTTATAAGAAAAAGGTAAGTGGAGTGTAATAAGAGAAAAGTAATATATATAAATCTAGATTTCAATTTATTCATAGATAAATCAGGATTTCAATTTATTCATAGATAAATCAGGAAAAAAAGGAAAAAATTAAATTAAAACACTCCTATTACTGTAACACTATCTTCCGATTAACATGTCAATTAAAAGTTCTTAAAACCTTCCATTGATAGTGTTTATTATCAATGTCACATGTTACCGGTACCTCTCTCTCTCCATTTAAATGTCACAATCGGGTGAGCACGACAAGTCACACTAACTTGGCTTTTTGCATCGCTGGAGGCAAATCTTCCTTTTTTGTTTCCTCTTAGTTTTTTTTTTTTTAATGGCTTCCAGAAAAATATATATATATCTACGTACTTTTAAGCTAAATCATTAATTTAATTACTAATTAACAAGTTTACATACTAAGTAAGTTCATTAATTAGCCATTTATTCAAAGGTTTGATAGGTTTTTTTTTTTTTTTTTTTTGTTTTTTTTTTGGATTTCAATTTATTTGGTCTTACTCATTATACAAGGTGTATTTAATGCATGTTGTGTTACATAAACAATTGATATTACTAAAGGTCTTTTGGCCCCACGGTATAACCAACCTTCCCATTCCTAAAGAGAAGGACATGTTCGGTAAATGAGAATGAGGTGCATTCACACAAACACTTTAAAATTTATTAATAATCTCTGTTTTGATATTTTGACAAAGAATAATACGGTATAGTTTGGTACGCATGAATGAAATAGAAAGAGAATGAGAATGAGAATAAAATGAAATTGTAATTGTTATTATCATTTTATTTTTTGATTGCAAATATGAAATGATGTATGAATGAAATGATAATTACTATTTTAAATGGTAGTGGTGCTGAAACGCAATGGCGGTGGAATTGGTGAAAGGCGGTAATGGTGAAGGAAGGTAGTGGTGATGGTGGAAAGCGATGGTGGAAGGCAGTGGTGGTGGCGGTGGTGGTAGTCAAGAAATTATTTCTTTGAAATGAATTTTTATTTCATTGGTTTAGATGTGGAATGGATTATAATTATAAGAAAATAATTATTCTCACTTTAAATGTCATATCAACTAAGAGAATGGTTAGAATGAAATGTCTTTTTCGTTTTATTTTTGCATACCAAACTAGGTCCAAGTCTATTTAAACTCCATTTGAATGGAAGGATTTGAAATAAAATTTATTAGTACGTGAGTTTATTAATAATCTCTTATTGTTTTGATATAAAATTAAATTGGGTATTGCTTAACTTTTGCTTTTGGGCATGTGTTTCAAATCCTAACTTTTATTTTTGTACACTTGTTTTAGATCTATTAGGCCATATCAGCAACCTGGGTTGGACCCAAACATTTTTCAAGAATTATTCTATTTATCAAATGAAGGATTTAAAATAAAAACATAAATTAATTTATTACTACGTTGGGAGTACCGAAACTTGGTTGATTAGATTTGAAATTGAAAATATAGTTTAGATTTAGATTTAATAATTAAATTTAAGTTTTAAAAAAAGTCATGGATAATATTTGAGGATCATAGGTGTGTGATAAAGGAAAAATAAACATACCCTACCTTGACCTAACGGTAGAGGCAACTAAGCGGTGACCAGCCACCAAACATCATATTTCCTTTGGATAAGAATGATTAGATTTCATTATCAAGGATAATGAAATCTAACGTGGTTCAACTGAGTAATGATAACACTGGCACAATTGGAGGAAGTCAAAAGGGTTAAATCATATCCCCGACAAATTTGGCAACAAACGGATCTCCTCTGATCTCGCATAAGCGGATCTCCTCTGATCTCGCACAAACAGATCTCCTCTGATCCCGCAAATAAACTAAGGGAGAGCGACTATAAGAATGAGATCCTACCGGTCAATAAAGGTACGACTAAAAATGATTATTAAATCATTGCCTTTCTTTTAGACCTCCGGTGACTGATTTGATCGTTGAAGAGCTCTTGGCAGGCACCACACCGGTGCCATCAAGATTCATTGATCTTCTATTCTTTTCTTTGCAGGAAAACGGTGTCGTATCGGACTGCGTGGATTTCACCCTTAACAGTTGGCGCCGTCTGTGGGAATGACGATTCCCTTAAATCAATAAATTACTCGGTTGGGTATATGCACTTGCGGTCCTATATGATAACTGGAAAAGAAACATCGTTGCAGAGATCCAGTCAAAGAGAAGGGTCGGGTGAACACCCAGACGTCCCGAATGACCAGGAATGGCTTGCAGCGTTAGAACTACAGGTTCAAACTCTGAATCAGGGTATGAACTAGTTGATCTAGCAAAATACAGAGATCATGCAACATCTTATCCCAGCAGGACCACCACCTCAACAAGAATTGTTTGACTCATATCCTCCCAATCTGAATGATGAGGGAGAAAACCAGAAGGACCGAGAAAATGATCCTCCTCACGAGTTCGAGGCAAAACAAAGCCAAGTTGGAAACAACACAGAGAACCTCATACTCTGCCTCCGCAGAATCCCCAGTCTCAGACAGGTACAACCTTCTGTGTTAAGGAAAATTCAAAAAAAGTTACCTATTTCGACCTACAGATCGAGGATCTTAAGGCGAAAATGGAAGATGTAATGCAGGCTATGAAAGGGAAAGGTCCTACCGCCATAGATGACCTGGTGCAGAGGACCAACATGCCGTTCAATCCCGCCGTTATGAAATGCTCCTTGCCTAGCAAGTTCAAGATGCCCTCGTTCGAAAGCTTCGATGGGACCAAAGAGCCCATTGATCACCTGGAGATCTTTCAAGCTCTCATGCATTTGCACGCCGTGCCAGATGAAATCATGTGCCAAACTTTTCCCACTACACTTAAGGGATCGACAAGAGTTTGGTTCAATAAGCTAAAGCCAGGAACCATCAACACCTTCGAAGAACTAAGTAAGCAGTTTGTGAGCCATTTCATTGCAGGTCAGAGGCATAGGAGGCCGGCCACCTACCTACTTACTGTGAAGTAACAGAAGGGAGAGTTGATCCGGGAATACATCACCCGATTCAATACAGAGATGTTGCAGGTAGAAGAGGTGGATGACAAGGTGACTTTGACCGCTTTCATAGGAGGACTCCTGTAACGACCCTAAACTGTTACCATTTTAAAAAAAAATCCAGCATGACCTCCCCTAAAAAATGGGCCTACCACAACCTGTTTAAAAGAATTTTAAACCTATCTCAACACAAA